GGGGAGGGGCCCAGGAGGACACCGTGGCGGGGCGGGGCTGCACCTGCTCCTGCGGCCCCCCTCCAGCGCGGCGCCCTGAGCTGCGGGAGCGCCCGCGAGGGCGGGGCGTGGGATGGGGGCGGGGGTGCCCGGGAGCCGGGGGATCGGCCCGAGGGCGGGATCTGGAGGCCCGGAGGCGGATGGGGGACCCTGGGAGCAAGATGGGGGACCCGGGGTGGGGATGGAGGAGACCCGGGGGCGGGATGGGGGCGAGATCCGGGGGCGGGATGGGGGGCGCGCTGCTCATCACCCCCCCAGGGCGCACGGTCCAGAGCAAAGGTTGGAGGAGGTAAATCCGGTTTGCATTCTTTCAAGATTCCTTCAAACCTCAGTGCCCAGCAGGTCCAAAGGCCAGAATTCTGACCTATGACCCCTATTTTTTTCTTTATGCAGAAAAAGAGCAAGTCTTGTTTTTTATTTGCTCTCCTTCCGACCTAAGAACCACACGGAGATTAGATGATGGTAGCTCCGCGCCCACCGAGGGAACCTGCCCTTTGCTTCCTGCCTGCCCGACCAGACCCGGCCCTCCACCCAGCCAGGCCTTGGAAAACTGCAGGGGCCCGGAGCGCGGCGCCCGGAGCGCGGGCTGTGGCTGCTACGCCCGCGGATGGAGGGGCCGCCCTGGGGGACCGCCATCCGGGCCGCCTCGGGGTTACCAGCTCAGGCGTCTGCTCCTCCTCAGGGGCAGAAGCGGGGCTCCTCGGCTGCCTCTTCCCAAACACTCGTGTTCGGAATCCTGGGAGCGAGAGTCAGCCGGGCGCTCTCCCAGCTGAGCGGTGCTGTGACCCCGCAGCTCCGTGTGCCTCTGCCTCGGGAGGCGGCACCGCGGAAACAGAGCGCATCGGTTCCTCCCGATGCTCCAGGGCAGCCCTGGGCTGGGACAGGGTCTTCTCTGGTCCCAGTTCCCGTTACACTGTCCTGAGACTTCAGTATGTGGCCTGAAAACCACGTCTGAACTGCTGTTCGTATCCTGGGGGCCATGGAAACTTTGCCAAAACTGTGTTTTGAGTTTGTTTAGGAAATGTGGTGAGATAAAGGGATTTAAGATTCTTTAAGATTTAAAGTGCTTTGTAGCCTCAGCCCTCCACCTCCAAAGCGTCCTTTTTTAAAGATGGGTTCAGAACAGCAGACATCAGAAAGACACCTTCTCCCTAAAGGCCACGTGATTACGTGCTGTGCCCCGGAGCCCACTCCACCCGTGGCCAGGCCCCTTTGAGGAGAACGTCTTTCTGGGACTCCTGATGCACTTTCTCATGAAAAGTACCTATAACCATGGCCAGATGTGGTGGAAATAATATTGTCAGCATACCCTAAAGTCTCCCAGGGTTTCTGTGAACCCATGTGGGCACTTAACGTTGGTTCCTCAAGAATGTTCCGTCTGAGGGCTGAACAAGGAGCCTGGAAAGTGATTTGTGGAACACACTGCCGCTAAACTGGGACGTCTGTCTGTCTGTCTGCACGCTTCTCCAAACCCTTTTGGAAGACTTCAGGAAATCCAGTGCTCGACCCAGCATCACCCCAAATGCTGGCTTCACCAGTGCTCCGAGCTGGCCTCACCAGTGCTCCGAGCTGGCCTGTTCTGGGAAAACACAGGCCTTCAGCTTGGTTCACAGGGTTTTGCTTTTGAAAGACACAGTGTCCCTTTCTAAGACCCCTGATCTGCGCCCCCACCTGCTTGGCACATTCCCAACAAGAGTCCTTTCTTCTGCAGACTCAAGCCCACAGAGAGGGTGACTTATCCTTACACCAGCGCCCGGTGGTCCTGTGGCCCACGCTGCTCCACCTCCGCTGGTCTTGTAGAACAAAGCAAGCACGCAGCCCCCGGCTCTCCCGGGTCTCTCGCTCTGCCGCTCTCTCTCCCCTCTACATGGAGCTGCCACCAGTCGAAGCAGATGACCCTGGGCTCCCTCCCATCCTGACCTTCCTTTGGGGCCCAAACCCCATTTCCTACTTCCTCCCACGATTTCTATGAGCAGGTTCCACACTCCTACTCCTGCCCCCCCTTCTCTTGCGCTCAGCTTCTTGCACCCCCAAACCACCCTGGCTTCCAGCCCTGTTAGCACAGCTCTGCCACCTCCCGCCTGGCTGTTTTGCAGACGCTTGTTCAAGGCCCCTCTGTTGGTAAGTCTGGCCCTTTTCCTGGTGGCCAGTAGGATTCCATTCCCCTCTCACCCGCTGCCTCACAGAGGTCCCTGCAGTTGGACTTGACTGTGGTGGCCAACCATGGCCAAGTGTGTTTTAGGGCCAGATGAGACTCGAGTGGGATCATTCGGTGTCAGGAACAAGTTAGACAAGAGCAGGCCTTCCTCCGGGAAGAGAGGAGGGACAGACCCAGAGAGAAAGGCCTGGGCCTGGCAGGCAAGGAAGGTCCTCCGACAGAGGGCAGTGAAGCTAGAAAGGCCTCGGGCAGTTTAAGGGCTGCTGGGCCCCCATCCCCAGTCTGTCCCCACCCCCAGCATCTGCCCAAGCTCTCCACTTAGGAACAGGAGACTGCCGGACCCCCGTGTCCTCGGAGCACTGCCACCCGCCTCCAAATGCCCCGTGCCTGGAGTTTCCTGGGCACCTTCACTGGCCAGACTCCTTGTCCTCAAAGCTGGCCGCCATGATTGTCCACGAGGGGCAGAGCACATCCTGAGGAAGGAAACTGAAGTGTGCACACACTGCCCGGAGCGAGCTCGCAGCCTGCGCTCCCATAAGGCTGTGCGATGAACCTGCTTTCAGCACTAAGCTTCTGGGCCCCGCAGTGGCTGCTGTCGTCCGCTGTGTGAGGAGACTGCGCCGGGACCCGGCTCATCTGGGGAGCTGTGTGAGGAGACTGCGCCGGGACCCGGCTCATCTGGGGAGCTGTGTGAGG